CTGGGGGTCGTGTGGCGGAGCTTCATGCTCTTCTCAGGCGCAGTGGTTTTTGGCTCCTATGGTCGCGTTCATAGGTTTCTTCGTCTGCGGCCGTTCTCCCTTTTTCTGGTGAATGATGTGCCTGCTGCATTCCGGAGGGGTCCTTGGGTTGTTGTCTCGACTTCGTGTTGAGGAGTGGTTCACCGACCGCCTTCCGGGTATGTCCCCTAGTTTACTTAGGTAGTTTTTGGTGAAGTAGCTCCGGGGAGCCATAGAGGCTCCCCCCAGAAAACCTGCGTTGAATGTAATGAAACGCCATTTTCTGGGTGAGTCCCGGAGGCTCCTCGGCACCCTCCCACCCTCCGGTCGGCGTTTTTTTCGCGGTTTTGATATCCAGCCTCAGAACTGGGGCGGGGATCGCCGGCGCGGGGGTCTGGGGCTCCTCCTTCCCCATCCCGGGGAGGGGCGCAGACGTGTGGCGCGGCTCGTATGACGTCATGCTTGTTAGTTCGTTTTCCTGGGGGAGTTCTGTCCACTCGTTTGTCGATTTTTGTTGTTAACCAGAATAGGGGTTTGTTTTGTGGCGCTTACCTTTCTGGGTGCCTGTCCCGGTCGATGGCAGATATAGAATGCTCCAAATCACATGTGCATTTCTATGGGCCATTGCTCCCCGTGCCTCTCTGAGGGGGCCAGGTTCTGGCTCGTGGTCCCCGGTAGGCCTAGAACTCCACCCACATCGACTGATGCAAAATAGTTAGGGTGTCCATATCAGCCATGGATAGCTCTGGGGAGCCTACAGGACTCACCCAGAAAATGGTGTTTCATTACATTCAACGCTGGTTTTTTGATGTCCAGCCTCAGAACTGAGAGGTGGATAGCCGGTGCGGGGGTCTGGTGCTCCCCTTTCCCCCTCCCGGGGAGGGGAAAGCTGCGCAAACAGCGACGTGGCGACGTGTGACGTCATACTCGTTTGCGCGTTTCTGTTTGGGGAGTTCTATCCACTTGTTCGGCTTTTTGTAGCAATTTGTAGTGGTCCCCGGTAGGCCCACATAACTCCATACACATGACTGATGCCAAAGTCTGACATTAGCATATCAGCCTGGATAGCTCCGGGGAGCCTCCGGGACTCTCCCAGAAAATGGATTTTCATTACATTCAATGCTGATTTTTTGTCCTTTGCTGTTTACAGAGCCTGCTGTGGTGTAGTATCTGCAAGTGGCTGCTTCTAATTGTCGTCCCATGTCAGACTTATTGGTTCTCGAGGGGGCAGGGGAAGGTTCCTCCCGGAAGGGTCGTGCTTGGGCTCGGGGTTCCTCCCATCGTGGTAGGCCAATGGTGCCAATTTCTAAGCCGGCGCGGTGATTGCTCTGCTCGTCGATCGGCTTCTTGTAAGGGGCAATGGCCCTTTCGCTGTTCATCCCATTGACAGGGTGATGGGATGGGTTTGAGTTCTTGGTAAATTGGAGGAAGTCCCATCTGGTTTCCCTCCCAGGGTTGGCTTCATCGGCTGTTCTGATTCCTTCTGGGACATCCCTTCCACCTCTCTCGCTATCGCTGGGTTCAGCCTCTGGGTGTCTTGTGTCAGCTGCTGCGTCGCCAGCTTCATATTCAGGTTTTTCAGTCTTCAGTGCCTTGGCACCTACCTGAGCCCTCGCTCGATGTGTTCATGGCTGTCTTATCTTATCTCGGCTGGGGTTTTGTGACCAGTGCTCGTCAAGCTGGCCAGGGTTGGTGGGGTCTGTCCTTCGGGCTCACAACACAGTGCGGTGAGGCATTCGCTTCAGCAGGTTCGCGTCTCTCACAGATTGATGATCCGACTCCATTCAGACTGCTTCCCTGTGGTTCATTGTCTGAACGACAGGGATTGAATGAGGTCCTTGGATCTTTGGGGGCTGGTCACTTCGGGTGACTCGTCTGCTAAGTTCTCAGGCTTTGGCTCTCTTGCGCAGCTCCCATAGAGAAGGGGGAAGTTGCGCAGACAGGGGAATGGTGGCTGTGTTGATGTCATGCTTGTTTGCTTGTTTTCGACTGAGGAGTTCCGCTTGCAAGTTCAGCTTTCGGTTTGCAATTTTTAACCAGCTGTAGTTTGCTTTGGAATTCCTACCTTTCTAGGTGCCTGACCTGGTAGATGGCAGACATAGACTGCTTCCAATTATACGTGGGTGTCTATAGGCCATGCTCCTCGTGCCACTCTAGGGGGCCAGGTTCCGGCACTGGTCCCCAGTAGACCTAGAACTCCATCGATTGACTGTTGCCACGGTTTAATATATACACATCAGCCCAGTATAGCTCCAGGGAGCCTCTGGATCTCGCCCAGAAAATGGGGGTTTCATTACATTCAATGCTGTTTTCTTTGGGGAGCCCCTACGGCTCCCTGGAGCTTATTGGGCTAATGTATGTTATATTAGACCGGGACATTAGCTAAGGAGTTCAGACCTACCAGGGACCAGCACCAGAACCTGGCCCCTTCAGAGAGGTTTCAGGGAGCAATGGCACTGGAAAAACCCCTTGTGGTTGGGGTTTTCCTTATCTGCCATCGACCGGGGTCAGGCACCCAGAAAAGTAGACATAACAAAACAAACCCCCCCATGGTAAAAAACTAAAACAAAAAACCAAACAGAGAGGTAGAAACTCCCTACAATCCCAAGGAAACAAGCAAACAAACAAACATCACACTTTACTGCCGTGCCGATCGTCCGCGCAACCCTCCCCTCCCCAAGAGGGGGAGGGGGGGTGCCCCGGATCTACCGCGCCGGCTGCCTAGCATCAGTTCGCAAGCTAATGACAACCGGGATAGACGCTTCTCTGGCCTCAGTTTCCTAGGCGGTGTTTGCCTTGTGTGGCGTTCACTGCCGTTTGTTGTGTTGTGTGGTGGCCAGGAGCACCTCATCAGTGCCCGGTACATGAAATTCGCTTATGGGCTTCCTTCCCTAAGCGCCCTGTGAGTACTGCCCCAGCGTGTCAGGGTTATCTTCCCTGGGGCGTTCGGGAACCATTCCCGTAGAGGTTCTTGCTGCTCGGCACTTGCCTTGCCCTTCGGGCCAGCTGGGGCTTGGGGCCCTGGGTAGAGACTGGTATTGTGCTGGTTAGGGCGTCAAGGTGTTGCGCGACCTGCCACCTAAGCGGCGACCAGTTCCTGTTGCCTCTGGAGACGGTGTACTTTTGCGGGGGTTTTCTTTTGTTTTTATTTTCATTTGCCTGGTGAGGGTCTGCCTAATGTGGCTATAGTTCCACTAGTAGTGTTTGGTGGCCCTCTGCTAGGCCCCCGTGATTGTACACGTCGCAGGGGTTTTCAGTGTTGTACTCTACCCCCTTGTTATTTTTGGGTGTTTAACCGGTTAGCAACACCTTGCCCGGGCTTCCCGTAGTTGTTACCCCTACGGGCCCTGAAACCCCTGTCGGGGCTCCATGGACCATTGGATGTGTCTTCTGGGTCCCAACCCATCTTGTACGGGATCGTTGGTTGCTGTGCCCTTGTCTCCGGGTGACAGTCGCCACTTTTACCTCCATCATGCTTGATGTTTCTTACTGTCGCCTCGTTTTGTGCGGCACTGGTGGAGCCGCTCCGGCTTGTGTTCGGGATTTAACATCACATCTGCCCCGTTTCGTACGCTTTCTCATGTTTTGTTTCACCTCAGGCCTGCTCATGCGTCGCCTGAGCCATCCTGGTCCTTGATCAGGGTTCCTTCTTATCTTCTCCTCAGTTTGTGGTAACCCCTTCGATTCAGGTTTCTGCTCTTTGGTTTTGGTGGTAGGTTTGTACGTTTGCAGCCTTTCTCCGTCCTTCTGGCGACGGTCGAGATGGCTGCTTTCTGGAGGGGTTCTTGGGTTATTGATGCTTGATTGCTTTGGCCGGGGGTGTATCCTGTATTGTCCAGTTGTGCTTTTTTTGCCGTTACCTGCGTACCGTGTCTGGGGGATGCGCTTTGGGTTGATTCGGTTCCCCTTGTTCCCTGTTTCAGGGCTCGGGTCTCCCAGGTCGTCCGCAGAATTTTTAAGTCTTCTAGCCTTCGGTCTGTCCTTACGTCCGTGCTGTTCGGACGTTTGCAGCTTTTGCTGCTGTGTTGGTGACGTCTAGAGCTCATTTCGGGTGCAGGGATTTGAGGGTCGCACAGGTTCTTGGCCGCCCATTCTTTATGCGCGTCTGCTCCTGTGCGCTCTTGTTGCCTTGGGTTGCAGGTTGCAGCCTGTTATATCGGTTTTGTATTGCGGAGTTTGTGGCGGCTGCCTCCCGGGTCAGCTCTTTCTTTTCCTTCTCTTTGGGTCTGAAGCTCCAGGGAGCCATAGGGGCTCCCCCCAGAAAACCAGCGTTGAATGTAATGAAACGCAATTTTTTGGGCGAGCCTCGGAGGCTCCCTGGCAACCCTCCCTCCCACCGGTCGGCGTTTTTTTCGCGTTGGTTGAAGCTTAGCTTCCGAACTGATGCTAAGCAGCCGGCGCGGTAGGTCCGGGGCTCCCCCTTCCCCCTCTTGGGGTGGGGAGGGCTGTGCGGACGATCGGCGCGGCAGTAAAGTGTGATGTTTGCTTGTTTGCTAGTTTCATTGGGATTGTAGGGAGCTTCTACCTCTCTGTTCGTTTTTTTGTTGTAGTTTTTTACCATGGGGGGTTTGTTTTGTTATGCCTACCTTTCTGGGTGCCTAACCCCAGTCGATGGCAGATAAGGAAAACCCCAACCACAAAGGGGTTTTCCAGGGCCATTGCTCCCTGAAACCTCTCTGAAGGGGCCAGGTTCTGGCGCTGGTCCCTGGTAGGTCTGAACTCCTTAGCTAATGTCCCGGTCTAATATAACATAGACTAGCCCGATAAGCTCCAGGGAGCCTCCAGGGCTCACCCAGAAAATGGCGTTTCATTTCATTCAACGCTGTTTTTTTTTTTTTTTTTAATTTTGAGCATTTAGACAAAGTTGAAGTATAAAGCAAGTAGATTAGGCCAAACAACTTTCAATAAAAAAAAAAGATAACAAAAATCCATGGATAAAGAGATTACCGCCGCCTAAATGTTTACCTTTTACATTTTTTCAGACTGCTTCCCTTGGCACCGGTGAAATTGGGGACAGTGGTTACCTGAGCCAAGCCACGGGAGACACTCACACAATAACTCCCCAACATGGACCTCACTCACCATCTACTCCATATTCTCTAGCCCAAATGGTTCCTCAGCAAGCTCTTTTATTGCCTCAGTCTCCTAGAGTTGGTTAGTATGTGGTTTGTATGTACTTTTTGTGAAATTTAACAGCAGTACTCATTATTTTTACATCTGGTGTTGAGTAAAGGTATTATCAACAAAATATAGAAATAAATTATATATACAGGCCATTCCCGCTTAACAAACATTTGCTTTATGAATAAAAATCCATATAGAAATTCTCTCAGGTCCCCATGTACCACTTTCATCTATAAAATTATTGTACAAACTCACTGGAGTGTCCTTTTCGAATTCTGTGAAAGTGCGCTAAAACTTCCATGCGGCAGCCACATGTAAAGTATTGTACAAAAACACCCACACGGCCTACTGGGAGGTAGGGCAAGGGCAAGAGGTAGGGCTTGCAGGAATGAGCGGTTAGTGCAATTATATTACCTAAGTGTAGTTATAGGATGAGAGCTATGCTCGTGGTGTCTTGTCTTTCCATTACTCTTTGTCATATGACGCTTTGAAACTCCTGACGGTTTTAGCTTCCATCACCTTCTCATTTAGCTTGTTTCGACAGTCAACCACTGTTTGCAAAAGAAAACTTTATAATATTTTCTGTGGGGGAGCCCCATTGGCTCCCTGGAGCTATCAGACTTATATTAGCTATATTAGTATTGTGGCTTCAGTCAATGGAGTTATGTGTACCGGGGACCATGAGCCAGAACCTAGCCCCCTCAGAGAGGCGCAGGGAGCAATGGCCTTAGGAAACCCCCATGTGTTTGGGAGTATTCCAAGTCTGCCATCGACTGGAGGTTAGGCATCCTGAAAGATAGGCGAACAAACCCCACTTGATAGGAAATTGCAAATCCAAAACCGATTTCCAAGACAGAGAAACCAGAACTCCCCAAAAGAAACAAGAAAACATCATCAACCACTACTGCAAAAAAAAAAAATAATATACCCCTAAACCAGAGGGGGAGGGGTAGCCCCGGACACCCTCCACTCTCCAGTTCGTAGACTAAAGCTGTCCGAGGCGGTTGTTGACTCTGGCTTCAGTTTCCTGTCAGGCATTTGTGTCCTTGTGGTGTTGCCTGCTGAGGTAGCCTGGTGAACTTATTGTACTTATTGTACAGTTTTCTGTCAAACAGGACTCAGCGAGTAACGGTCAACCATATAAAATCTAGTCCAAGTGCAGTGCAAAGCTCTGTACCTCAGGGTACAGTCCTTGCACCGCTGCTTTTCCTTATTCTCATATCAGATATAGACAAAAATACAAGTCACAGCTTCGTATCATCCTTTGCAGATGACACAAAAATCAGTATGAAAATTAACTCGGCTGAAGACATTGAAAAACTTCAAGCTGATATTAATAAAGTTTTCGACTGGGCATCAGAAAATAACATGTTGTTTAACAGTGATAAATTCCAGGTACTCAGGTACGGTAAAAATGAGGACCTTAAACATAATACAGAGTACAAAACACAATCAAATGTAGCCATAGTAGGAAAACAGCATGTAAAGGATTTGGGAATAATAATGTCTGACGACCTAACGTTTAAGGAGCATAACCAAGCAAATATTGCGACAGCCAGAAAAATGATAGGATGGATTACGAGAACTTTCAAATCCAGGGATCCCATCACAATGTTTGTACTCTTCAAGTCACTTGTGTTGTCCCGTCTTGAGTACTGCTCAGTACTCACTTCCCCCTTCAGAGCAGGAGAGATTTGCTGAAATAGAGGGAATACAGAGAACATATATGGCACGCACAGACGCAATAAAGCACCTAAATTATTGGGATCGTCTCAAAGCCCTCCAAATGTACTCACTAAAAAGAAGACGAGAGAGATATCAAATAATATACACCTGGAAGATACTGGAGGGCCAAGTACCAAATCTACACAGTAAAGTAACAACGTACTGGAGTGAACGATATGGAAGAAAATGTAGAATAGAACCAGTGAAGAGCAGAGGTGCCATAGGCACAATCAGAGAACACTGTATAAACATCAGAGGTCCGCGGTTGTTCAACGTCCTCCCAGCAAGCATAAGAAATATTGCCGGAACAACCGTGGACATTTTCAAGAGGAAACTAGATTTATTCCTCCAAGGAGTGCCGGACCAACCGGGCTGTGGTGGGTATGTGGGCCTGCGGGCTGCTCCAAGCAACAGCCTAGTGGACCAAACTCTCACAATTCAAGCCTGGCCTCGGGCCGGGCTTGGGGAATAGAAGAACTCCCAGAACCCTATCAACCAGGTATCAACCAGGTACTGGGGCTGCATGCACTTAGGGCTACCTTCCCTAAGCACCCTGCAAGTACTACCCATGTCTTCTAGGGTTATCTTCTCTAGGGTCTTCGGGATCTCACTCCTGTAGGGGTTACTGATGCCCGGCATTGCCCCCACCCTTGAGGGTCAGACGGGGTTTCGTGGCCTTTGTTTGGCTCTGGGTAGGAAGTGTTGTTGTTGCTGGTTGGGGCACAAGGTGCTGTGCAGCTTGCCTACCTAGCTACGGCTGTGTTCTCTGTTCCTCTGTTGTTGTTGTTGTGTTTTTGTGGGGTTTTCTTTTAGTTATAATAACATTCTATTGGCATTAAAACGTTATAACAAGATGTAACAACTTTATTACAAGTTGTAACAAGTGGAAAATAGGGACAGTTATGTTGTGTGTTTGCAGGGCTGAGGCTGCTCCGTTTTGGTTAGGTCGGACTTGGGGTTTGGTTTAGGATGAGACTTGGGGCAGCTCCGGGAGTTGCCACTATTCTCTGCGGAGACGGAGGCCTTTGAGGAAGCTCCTCCCGCCGAGGTTTCTGGCCCTTACCATTAGGACCCCCTTCTTGTTGCTTTTTCCTTGGAATCTGTCTTTTCTTCTTGGGTGGAGGGTTGCTGCCCCAGGGTCCCCTGTCAGGGGTTCCCGGGGCTTTGGGGGGAGCCCACTACCAATGCTTGGCTCGTTTGCCCCTACTTGGGCTTTTGTGCCTTCTGAGTGGGTTTTTTCATCCCTCCTTCCGATCTGCTTTGGTTTCCCACATTTGCTGGCATGATTTCAGCTCCCTTGCATCAGACACGTCTCCTTTTGTTTTGGTGGACATTTTGCTTTTAGTGGGCACTTCCCCGTCTGGCTACCAGAGCGACGCTGCATCTTGTTTGTTTACATGTGACTGCTGGGCATGTGCACTCGCTTTTTGGGGGCGGTTTTTCACATTCCTTTGGATTTTTTTTTATCCTCCTGTGGCTGTATCTGTTTGTCTTCCACTAGGAACATTTGGGTGTTGGGTTTTCACCGGTCTTGTGTTTTCTGTCGTTTGGGTTCTGGGTACTGGTTTTAGGCCCCGTGTCCGTGCCCTGTATGCTGTGTTAGCTCTCATGCCTTTGGCCCTTGGTTTTTGGTTCATTTTCTGGCCGTCCTGGGGTTTTTAATCTGAGGGTCATGTGTCTTGCCCTTCCTTTTTGTATTCTTTCTCTGGCCACTTGTTGATGTTTTTCCTTTCTGTGGTGCATTTTTTGGCGGCAAATGTGGTGGTTTGGGCTTACCCCGGGTTCGTTTCCGGGTTCCTTTTGGTTCTCGGATTCGTTCCAGAGGCTTTCTTCCTCTCGGGTTTTCCTTGTGGAGGTTCGGGAGGCCCTTGGTGGTTACCTCCAAGTGCGACTCGGAATTGCCTCTCTTATGGCTCGGCCTCTTTTTGCATTCGGGTCCTCGTTCCCATACTGGGTGCATTTTGAGGTTCCTGGGTCTTCCTTGCTTGCAAATTGCCCTTACCTTGGGCATGGCACTGGTTTTGTGGTCGTGCCAGTGCTCCAGGGCCGTCTTCGTCTGATCTGCGCGGCACTCACTCTGCTCGCATATCGGCTTGTCGGTGGGGATTCCCAGCCTTGACTCTTGGAGCGTCAAGTGGCAAATGGAATTCAATGTGAATAAATACCATGTTATTGAATGTGTAACTGGAGAAAATAATCCCCCCCCCCCCCTCCCCACACACACACCAACCTCGATGACTGGTTGGTGTGGGCTCCCAGCCAGTCTGCTTGTCTGCTTGCCAGAGGTATGGTTCTTTCCCAGCTCACCGGGTTCAGGTTCCTGGTGAACTGGTGAAAGTCTCATTTGGTTCTGTCCTGAATTTGGACTTAGCTGGATCTTGCTTGGGACTCTCGTTCAGCTTTTTAGCAGTTCTCTTGGTAGTTTGGGCTCAAGCGGTTAGCAATATCTTGCCTGGGTTTCCCTTAGCAGTCAGCCAAAGGGCCCTGGGAAACCCCAATGGGGCTGTTTGGACCTATGTATGCATCTTCTGGGTCCCAACTCCCTGAGTGAGAGTTTGAAGGTTGCTCTGTCCCCTTGTCTCAGGGTGACACTCACCAGTTTTGCCTCCGTTATGCTGCCTGTTGGGCCAATAACACCTTTGAACAGGAGTCTTGCGAGACTCACTCGTGCTCCATATTACCTAGTCTTCTGATATTGATATTCGGGTACTAGCGGTTTCAGCGTTGCATGCTAAATATCTGTTGCTGCAGTTTGCTAGGTTAGTTGCTCACCCAGATGCCAAAGCTGCCTCGCTTGTGTTTTAGGGACCCGGACTTGCGGCGTCAGTTGCTTCAACTTTGGTTTCGTTTGCGCTCCCATGTCCTTCCCCTGTTGGTGGTGTTTGTCCTGCTCTCCACTCCCCCTTTCCCCCCCCCCTGCTCCTAGCTCCCAAACGTCTGAGGGTTTTGGAGTCGGGGCGGGGTTTAGATGACAGTGGGACTTTGGGGGGCTGCCCCATTTGGGTTGAGGACGGAGGCATTCGAGCTTGCTTCTCCTGCCAAGGCTTCCGGGTCTTACCAGCGGACCCCTTCTTCTCATCCTTTTCCCTGGACTCTGCCTTTTCTTTTGGGGCAGAGGGTGTGGAGGACGGCTCTGCCCTGGGTCCTGGTATGGAGGATCCCGGGGCTGGGGAGGAGCTGACTTGGGTGGCCTGGGCCAGGTTTGACCCTGCTTGGGTGTTGGTACCCTCGTCGTAGGGCTTGTTGTTGCAGGGGGAGGGGTTTTCGCACCCCTCCTTCCCGAATGAGTATGATTTGGGTTCGGC